CGCAGAGATGCTGCGGGCCCATGCGTGCCCGGAGCTGGCGACATGGGACTGCTGTCCCCTCGCTGCGTGGCCGTCAAACAGGGGAGAAATCGTGGGACAGCGGATTGTCTGCGGTGGGACGCCGTGACTTGCCACAGCAGGCACTGCGCGGCATTGGGCTGTGCTGGAGGTGTGCCTTCTATTCCCACGTAACCGTGTTTATAAAGAGAGGCAAACATTAAAATTAATTCACTCTCCTCTTCTTCATCTCATTAAAAAAAATCAATATAATAATTTCTTATCTAGCTTTTAACAAGGATGTTTGCACGAGCAGGGGGCATGGCAGGACCACAGGACTGGAATATGTGGGTATTTGTACCAAAGGCTGCAAGGAGGTTTTAGGTAAAGTTGATGGAGCGCTCAGAACTAGCAACAGGAGAGGAGCAGTCTAAAAGACCTGATAAAACATGTCAAATTTTGTGGTTTTTCCTGTAAAGAATCTTACAGCCTTCAGAATTAGTTTGGATTTGCTTTAGCATGAAAAGGACAGGATCTTCCTCATGGCTGGTAGACATGGGCTACTCTGGGAAACTGGGTCTAAGTCCAGGAGAAAATGTGCTTTGTAAAAAATCATTCCACAAAATTTGGCATAAAGTTGCAGAAGCGGCTCTTTCATGACTAAATTTGGGGGATTTATTTTCTATTTTCTTTTTTCTCTACAGGAAATACCAAGTGATCAGATGGGTTGATTTTCCAGAACCTTTGTTTCTAGCCTGTTAAATCCAATACCACTAAAATATTTTCAGTGTTTGCAAATAAATGGGGCTTTTTCTCCTAAACCATCACAAAGGCTCATAGGGATTTGTTATTTTGTGGTTACCTTCTTTAGGACGATATGAAATTGCAGATTTAAGGTGTGGATTTTAAAAGGAAATCACAAATGCAATTTAAAAAATGGAGTTTCCACAGTGAATTGTGCCCAAGCAACATAAGAGAGGTCTTTGCAGAGTGTCCTGGAAGAAATGAGTCTGTATTTCATAGATGCCCTATAGGTTTAAGAGATCTGAGGTTTTAAAAAAATAACACTGAAATCTAATCAGCAACAAATAGGGTATCTCTGGTGAGATCTTTTTTCCTTTCCCAAGAGAAAAAAAAATTGGAAATAATATCAGTGCAGACAATTCTTCCCCATTTCCTGAAGGGAAGGAAGAAAAGTCTCTCCACTTACCAGCATCATTTATTCTATGAAAATATGTCTGTGCTGTCAATTTGAAGTATTTACTAATCTCTCTGTATCTCTTCAAGTCGGACATAAATACAAGATGCATTAGTAGACATCTGAAGTATCTGTGCAGCCTGTGCTTATTTATATCCACACATGCTGGAGGATACAGGGTTCCTTCCCCACCAGCAGCTTGCCTGGGTGATATTTGCCACCTCACTTTCTTAGCAGGAGGAACATTTTGCTCATTTTACATCATCTGATGCAGTTTTCAATGCACGGGCTGGGACTGCTGTGTTTCTCAAGAGGCTGGCAGAGTGAGCTGTGGGCAGTGCCACGAGCCTGCCAGGACCTCCCCGTGCCTCAGCTGTGTTCTCCCAGTGAGGGGCTGTGGGGTCCTGTCGCCCTGATTTTTAAAGATTTTCTAAGCCTTCTGATGTTTACATTCTTGTAACAAACTTTCTCACACACTTTCTGTAAATAACTTATCGTCTTGCATTCTTTTATGGAGGAGGAGAAATTTGATGAACTGTTGGTTTGTACAGTGTCTTTGGAGAGGTGGTCACTTTTGAAATCTATAAATGTTGGAGTCAGAAAATAAACTTCCCTTTTTGTCACCTTGAGAGTGTAGTTTCATGTCCTATAGTGACAGGGTCCCTCCCTGGAGCTCTTGGGGCTTGTGAACCTCTAAATAAGCACCCTGAGCATCTCAACAGGTAAATAAGGAATAAATTTGCCCTCCACAGTGTTGGACAACTTAGCCCAACAAGATCTGTTCTTCCATCAGCTCCCAGGTGCTGAGGGTGTCCGTGTTCCCAAGCCAGATGTCCCTTTGCCACCACTGACAGAAGTAGGTACCTACAAGCATTTTTAGTGCTTCCTCTCACACATTTGGGTCCTGTACATTTCTCCAGTATTCTGGTTCAAAATCTTTTGTTGTTTCCAACCTTTTCCAAGTCCTGTCTATAAAAAGCAGATGGAGGCACTCCTCATCACATCCTCAACTCTAGCTCCATACCCCACTTCTGCAAACACTTTCAGTCTGTCCTGAGACCTTTAACAGCCCTGTGGAAGGGTGTCTGCATCCCAAGAGGTGTCTTTGAGCAGATGCTGTGGGAGCTTTTCAGGTAGGGAGTTGGTTGTCTCCCTGCTCTGGTTCACCCACCTTTGTGAAGCTGAGCAAAGCAAAAAGCTTTCTTAGAGACCTGGAGAAATAAACTGAGCAGGCTGGCAATGAAAAGGTGATAAATTCCTCATCTTCAGGGCTGGATGAGTTTGAAGCCAAATAATTGTTGCTTTCTTTCGAACTGGGAATTGAAGAGATCCAAAAAAACAATGATTGTACTTAAAAAGAAGAGAAGAAATGGATGGTTTTAAAGACAGACTTGAGCACCCAAAAAATCTTAGGCAGACAAAAGGGAGAAATAAGCTTTTTTTTTTTTCCATCAAAACACAGGATAACCTGTTCATTGTAATGACATTTAAAGCATCATCCCATTCCTTCTGTTTAAAAAAATAGATATTAGAACCAGAAAACTCTGAAGTTTAAAGGATTGAAGCTGCAAGAGACAGTAGATTAATATGATGTGGGCAAATTTGAGGACTGTGAAGAAGGAGAGACTTGTTCCAGTCCTAGCCTTGTGTACTTCAGTGAGAGGAGCTGGAAATCTGCAACCTCTTGTTAGCTTTGACTGATGGGACTTCAGGAATTTGATGAGGAATTTTAAACAGATTGGAGAGGCACAGCTCTGTGTCACTAAAGATATGATCTCATTTCAGGGTGACCATGACATCTGGTTAAAGGAAAATAGTTTTAAAGAGGAGATTATAATTTCTTACACAGCTTTTCTTTCCTAATTTACAAAAAACCTGCACAACAGAGCAATGCAAATAGCCAAGGCTCCCTGAACTATACCAGCAAAGGAATTAACTTG